AATTTTTTGAGGAACCTCCATACTGTTTTCCATAGTGGCTGCACCAGTCTGCATTCCCACCAGCAGTGGGCTTGATTTGTTGATGGAGCCGTTCTGACAGGTGTGAAGTGATACCTCATTGTGGTTTTAATTTGCATCCCTCTGATAATTAGCGATGTCGAGCATTTTCTCATGTGTCTCTTGGCCATCCGTATGTCCTCTTTGGAGAACTGTCTATTTAAGTCCTTTGCCCATTTCTTAATTGGGTTGTTTGTCTTTCTCTTGCTGAGTGCTATGAGTTCTTTGTACACTTTGGAAATTAGCCCCTTATCAGATTCATCCTTGGCAAATATGTTTTCCCAGACATTATCTGCCTCCTTTGTTCCTTCTTTAAAAGGGTCTACCTCCTGGCTGGCAACATGCCAGGGGAGGAAAGGTCAAGGGAGGGTCCAAACTGCATGACCAGAGATAGGCTACCCTTGGGGAAGAAAGGTCACCCTGAGGGAAAGGTCCGAGTCCAGTTTTTCCCCTTGCTAGCTACTCAAGGCTTTCTGCCCTGGGGACCTTCAGTACCTGGCCCATGGGTCCTACTATGCTTGTGTTTATCTGACTGTCTTCTACACTGGTAAAGTGAGTTAACTCTTTCCCATCCTCTCTGCCTTTCCAGTATTTGTAAAGGAAGGTTGCAACTACGCTGCAACTATTTTAAGCAGTTTTGAATGAGAGCAATATAATCTTTTTCTCTAATACAAATGTTTATAACTGCACTGTAACCTGCATCAATTCTGTCTAATGACAGGCCACTTTGCTTTAAGTTTATTTGGGTAACACTCTCTAAGTACATTTTACTACCCCAGGCTAGTGCCCTGACAAAATGAAGAAATAGACTCCGTGTGTGATATTTTAAAGGGATAGAGATGCCGAAAGCATTGCAGGAAGAAACATATTCTTAAAGATTATTACCGCTACTGCAGTGTCTACCAGAGTGAGAAGTAGGTGGCATAATATTCTGAGATATAAATTCTCTGAGGCAGAACATAGAATTTTACTACCTAAATGTAATAAGATGCATTGTGCTATCAGCGAAGACCATGGAGCTCTGTGTGATTAAAATAAAAAAGGATCCAAGTATCTGCCTTTAACTACCATTTAATGATAATGATTTTTGTCTTTAGCATTTATATTGGAAGTCAAGACTAAGCCAAGCTGCAGGCTATCCAATAATAATATGAATAATAATAACTAACAATTGCCCTTCTCTGCCTCCTTAGATCTTATAGTTTATATTTATTCTCAAGGAAAGTCCTCTTCTTTCATCTCAGTTAATATGGTAATTGAAATACTAGTTTTAAAATCCTGTTGTACACCACATGCCCATGAAAGGAGTTTTAGCATGAGATTTACATTAGAAAAGAAGACTTCGAAAAGGGCTACTATGTACCAGTCTTTTTTACATGTTATTTTATTTGTTTTTTATGGCAATCCTTAAAGGAACATATCGTTCCTTTTACAAAGATGGAAAATTAGGCCCAATAAGCTTCTAAAACTATCTTCTTATAACTAACTAGTAGTGACCTGGAACTGGCTCAGACCAGGTGGTGAAAGCTAATTTTTAAATATTCAGGATTTTTGTTGATACCCTGAAGTCAGCCCCAATTGGGGTATTCACACCATGAAAATCAGCAAAAGTTAAAAAACAGGGCTCTTCTTCTCCAGTTTTTCCACTGCTCTCAAGGGAAAGAAAAAGAATTCCCCCCTACCTTAACAGTGGTTAGCTGAGACACCTATAGTAAAAGACAGATTAACAATATAAAATCAAACAAGTTTATTAACATGTATTTCTTATATGTACATAGAAGATACCCAAGGGAAAATTAATAACTCCCCAAGGTGACTTAGAATTCAGCCTTAAATCCCATCTTAACATGGAAAGGGAAGGAGGAGAGGAAATGATTTTCAGGAAAGATGAATGGCCCCATGAATAATAGATGGGAATTATTGTTACAGGAGAATCCAACATCTCTGTCGCTCATGGGAGCTGCATACTTATGAAATCTTTAGAAAACGGATTTTCTAAGATTCCAACAGGAGAATGAGATGTGGTAAAAGGCTTTATTTGCTGGAGTTACATTCCTCAGGTTGTAAAGTCCCAGGTCCCTTAACCCAGTCCTGAAAAATGTCCGGGGGG